GCCAAGTATGGTTTCAGCGATTTAAGAGTGGTGATTTTGATGTCAATGATAAAGAACGCTCAGGCCAACCGAAAAAGTTTGAAGACACCGATTTGCAGGCATTATTGGACGAAAACTCTACTCAAACGCTCCAAGAATTGTCTGCAGCATTAAATGTTACTCCGATGGCTGTTTCCAAACGTCTACATGCAATGGGAAAAATTCAAAAGGAGGGAAAATGGGTACCACACGAATTAACCGCAAATGCCATTGCGAATCGCTTAAACATCTCTATTTCTCTGCTCGCCAGGCAGAAAAAGAAGAGTTTTTTGTGGCGCATAGTGACTGGCGATGAAAAATGGATATACTTCGATAATCCTAAACGAAGAAAATCATGGGTAGACCTTGGCCAACCATCGACATCCGGGAGCGGTGCACTTATTCATGGCCACAAAGCAATGCTTTGCATTTGGTGGGATATGCACGGCGTCGTTTATTATGAGCTACTCAGACCGAACGAAAGTATCACGGGGGATCGATATCAATCACAATTAAACCGTCTGAATGAAGCATTGTTGGAAAAAAGGCCAGCAGTAGCCAGCAATCGACGTAAAGTCATGCTTTTGCACGACAACGCTCGACCACACGTTGCCAAAGCCGTCAAAGAAACACTGATGCAGCTCGAGTGGGAAGTTCTCCCGCACCCAGCGTATTCACCAGACTTAGCTCCTTCGGACTATTACTTGTTCTGGTCGATGCAGCACGGCTTGGTGGATACACACTTCAGAAATTACGAGGATGTGCGAAAATGGATCGACGAATGGATTGCATCAAAAGACCAATCGTTCTATCGTCGCGGAATCTACGCGTTGCCCGAAAGATGGGAAAAATGTATAGCTACCCTTATAGAAATATCATACTAAGAATCATTGATAATTACTTATTTTCAGTATTGAAAATACTGGATAATAAGTAATTATCAATGATTCTTAGTATGATATTTCTATAAGGGTAGCGAGGGAAAATACTTCGATTAATGTATTTTTTGCTTTTGATGTCGAAATAAATGAGTTTTTTTAAACAAAAAAACCGCAGAAACTAAGTTTACCACCTAATAGAAACGTCATTAAGATGTCACAAAAAAGACGTTTCAAAGACGTCGTTATTTAGTCACTTGACGTCATTCGACCAGTTATGACCAGTTTTTTAGGTCATTTTGACGTGAGTCTGTTACTTGGGCTGATTCTTGTGTCGTTCACCTTACCTACTGCATCACTGTCACTTTAATTGAGAGACGCTTTATATTGTGTACATATGGTATATACATATACGAAAGCATATGATTTATTTAAAAAAAAAGAATAGATTCTTTTAAAATATATGTTTTAAAAAGTATGTAGAAAGTATATTTAAAAAATATTTACATGTTTTAAAAGTAAATATTGGGGGTGTGAATAAGTTCTCGCCGTTTTTTGTGAAAATAAATCCTTTATTTAAAAAAAAATAATAAAAAAACAAGTCAATTAAAGTATTGCCCATCGCTGGAGACTACTTTTTCCCATCTTTCTGGCAGCATTTGAATTCCACGTCGAAAAAACGACACTTCTTTTGCGGCTATCCACGAATCGATCCATTTTTTCGTTTCTTCATACGAAGTGAAGTGCTGCTCAGCCAGGCCGTTAGTCATCGATCGAAATAAATAGTAATCAGAAGGCGCAATGTTTGGAGAGTACGGCGGGTGGGGTAGGACTTCCTATTTCAGCGTTTCTAGGTATGTTTTGACCGGTGACGCGACATGCAGCCGAA